AAATGAAGTGCTTTGAATTCGCATATGCACCGAGAGTGAAACAAAAATGATACGAAGCTGATTATAAAAGTCATATTTATTTTTCCATATACTTTTTCAATTATACATGTACATTCATGTATACCCTCTGTGTACATGCATCACTTATTCTAATTAATCTCTCTTTAGTTTAATTGAAATAATTAGCTAACAAGAGTATTGTCAACTCACATGCATTTTACATAAATGAATTATCATGGTTTTTTTTATTAATAATATTTTCAATATTTTCTCAATATTAACAAATTAATTCCAAGTGAGAGGACGATATACATCTCCCGAGGGATGATGAGTAGTAATAAAGGGCCCGTGCCTTGTGGTATCACCTACCATAACGTCTTGGTACTACTCATGGTATTGCTCAACCCAGATAACGAGCTTTGGTTATAAGAATGCGTAGTGTGGGCCACACGGATAGATTTTATAATTAAAATTTTTTCTTTCATATAAAGCCAATAAATGAAAATATATATATTGACATTGACAAACTTAACAAAAATATATAAACATTGATAGACAAAATTAAAGGTTAAAGGTTGGTATTCCTCTACTGAAGTAAAGAAAAAAAAAAATCTTGAATGTGGTGTAAAACTATCGTTCAAATTTCCCACTTGTCTAAAATTTTCACAACATTATATTTTTGGTTGGAGTTTGTTGGTAGGTAGTGTTTTCATGACATGTTTGTGTTGTGTATGTTTCCACAGTTGTGACTATGAGAAACCCAATTGAAGCACTTCATACACTTAGGGCAAGAAAAGGGTTTTTTGACCTTGTTGTCACTGATCTCCACATGCCTCAAATTAATGGTCTGCAATTACAAAAGCAAGTAATGCAAGAATTCAAGCTACCTGTTATTAGTAAGTACATATACAATCTCGCGATATTATCCAGACGCGCAATTGCATCCCATTTAATTTACAAGCGAAACATTTTCCATATGATCTAAAACCATTTTCTTTTCTTTCATGTAGTGATGTCAGCTGATGAAAAGCCCAGTGTCATATTGAAGAGTTTAGAGGAAGGAGTTGCATTTTACATGGTGAAACCAATAAGCCTAGATGATGTCAAACATGTATGGCAGTATGCTATTACAGCCAAAGAGGTTACACCCAATGAAGCGAAAACGGTTGCCGGACGAGGATTGTCCATTGAAAAATCGTCTCTAGAAGAGACGAGCTCTATAGTACCTTGTCCGAAAGAGAAGAAAGGTGCAAAATCAAAGAACAAGAAGGCAAAGGAAAATAGGGTTACCAAAAAGTCAATTGCCATAAAAAAGGCAAAAGTGATTTGGACAAATTCTCTTCACAATCGATTTCTACAGGCCATTAGACTAATAGGTCTTGACAGTAAGTGCATTAGCTTTATTTCTTGTCGTTTTGTTCCTGAATGGTACATGAGGAACATACAAAAATAGGTTATATAAAAACTCTTCAGTTCAGAAAAATGATATAGATATATCATAACTATAAAAGAGATACGATTTAAATGAACATGAAGAAGTACAAACTTGTATGTCCTCCTATAGTTGGCAATAATCTAGAAGTGTCATTGAAAATATGATTGTTTCGTTCTATCATTCCACAAAATTAATGTTTTTGGCTATGGTTTAATTTTAGTTATAATTTTTCTATCCTTAATTAATGCTTTCAATTATTTATAATTTTGTTCAGAGGCAGTTCCGAAGAAGATCCTTGAGTTCATGAACGTGCCTGGCTTGACTAGAGAAAATGTTGCCAGCCATTTACAGGTTTTCCCTTTTTGTACATATTTTATCGCTGTACTATGAACTTTAATAGGGACCCTTTCTAAATTAATCACATATATACAAAAATAAATAACTGATTAGTTGATAATTAACACACATTCTTTTAGGAAGGATTGACACACATTATTAATTCGGTGATATAGAGGTATACTTTTAAAACAACACTTGCTTGGCCTCCTTTCCTTTCTATATTGCAAATAACATATAGGCATCGTTAATAGGCTTATAAAATGAAAACAAAAAATATATATAAAGGGGAGAGATTATATATATTATTGATTAATGGGGTGTTTAATTAAAGAAGTAATTAAATTGCAATTGGTTTTTGTTTATGGATGCAGAAGTACAGAATTTTCTTGAAACGAGTCGCTGAAAAGGGAGCTGATCGTTCAATGAAGGAACATAATTCGGACTACAGATTATTAAGATCAAGCTTTGCTTCTGCTCACTTTCAACCCCAATTATACAGACCAAAATTCCAAGAAATTTACCAAATGAATCACTCTCCTATCTTGGAAGCCAATAATCTCCGTTTGCCCTATTTGGGGAATCAACACTATTCAAGTGATCTATCGACGAACAACGAAAAACACAACTTTTTTTTCAACGGGCTTGTCTCGAGCTTGACAAAAATCGACCAAAATTTCGTGTCCTTAGGAAATGAAAAGCCTAAATTTTCTAGCAACGAAACAAGAATGAGTTCAAGTCAAAGTGAGATATTTCGTAACATCCATGATGTCAACCATAATAGTGGAGGGTCAAGGTCATTTTCTGGGAATTTTGAAGGCACAAACCAACTTTTGGAAATGATTTGTAATAACACAAATGTGAAGGAGAATGAGAATGGTTGTGTTTTGGTGGCATCAGAAGAAGAAGTGAATGTTAGTGGTTGGAAATTTGCAGCTAATGAGACCATTTCCTTTGGAGATTTTGGTGTAGATCTCCAAGATTGCTTTGATGTTCTCAGTGAGATCTTCATGGACAAGAACGGTGATCAACCTTCTTTACGGGTACGTTTTGATATTCAATTCAAATAGTTTAGCAAATCTAAACATATTTTAATTGGTTAAGGCACGTATCTTCATCTATTCTTCTGTTTTTTTACTTCATCCGATTAAAGATTAAAAAGTCATGAGTTCAAATCCTTAAATGGTAAAGATAAATGATTAACAACTTTAAATTTGTCTTATTTTAGGAGCAGGAAATGAGAAATATGGATCTCTCCGACATTTGGAATGAGTTTGAAATGGATAATAATACTTCACCAAAGAAAGATCTCCTCTCTACTCGCACTCATGAGGCATAAACGCATATGCTAATTAAAATCTTTTCATTTCTAATTTTAGTATCATCAACATTACTCATTCGTCTACATTTTAAAATATTGATAGACTTTATTAAAAAAATAAAAATTTCTTTGTTTGCTCTATACTATAAGGTCATTTACTAAAATATTTTCTGAGTTTCTATTCATAATTACTAAATTAACTTTTCACTTAATATTTTTTTTCTTTGCAGAACTCGGACGATGAGAATAGATTATAGAAATCTTGTATTGGATGGTTCATCACATCACGCAGAGGAAGAAGCAAGTCACCATTAACTATTAAGAGCCAATAACGAAAGATATTTTATTGGATCGATATTCCTAAAAAACTTCTTTTTTATTATGTTATTGTCTTTTATACTCAGACTAGTATTTAAAACTAATGTGAGATCGATTTAATAACACAATAATTGTAGCTACACAGTAGAATGGTAGAATACAAATGTACTAAGCAGTCCAAAAAAATGTTCTTTGAAGAATATATGAATGGTTATTATTGCTGGAGTTAATTTTGTAACTCATASGTGTATTGGTTTGCTAATTTTAATATTGTCAATTTGAACATAATTCGATATATAGAATATTGGTTATCATTCCACTCCTAAGTTTTTTTTTTATTAAACAAACTCAAAAATAACATTAGAAAAAGAAATCTGCCAGAGGATCAGCTACAAATAAATTCTGGTATTCAGACCAGATGCCGAGTAACCAAGCAGGGAAAAAAAAAACATTGTCCTCCATAAATATGGTTTTATTGTTTGTCAAATAAATAAATTACCATCAAACTTCCATTATTCCATTTTAAAAGTGATCTCTCCCTCTCTCAAAATTAGGCAATAAAATCATAACCCAAAATTAGTTCTTACCATTTGAAAAACCTTCCATTGAAACCCTAATAATTTGAAAAGCAAAAGTAGCCGTTAGAAAAAACCTTCCTTCTACTCAACCAAAACACACGCAAGACTCCATGAAATGTAAATATATATATATAAACACAAAGATTTGCAGAATCCGAATCAAAATCTTGTTGTGGTCTTATTTTCGAGAGTGAGAAATAAAACCAAATATTTTTGTGTCTAGATTTTAGCATGATTTCGGGTCGCTGTGCAGCTTGCAAGTATCTCAGAAGAAGATGTCCTTCRGATTGCATTTTTTCCCCATTCTTTCCTTCCAATAACCCTCAAAGATTTGCCACTGTTCATACAATCTATGGAGCCAGTAATGTTGCTAAATTCCTTCGTGTAAGTTCCATATTTTAATTAATTCACTATCATTTTTATTTTTTCCTTATGCTTTAAACTTRGCTAGTTATTGCTATTCACATAATTAAATTACCAACCACTCTAAGTTTCTCTGTTAGCACAATTCATGTAATTTTCGGGTATTTTATTTACTTTTACCAACTTTTCTTTCAACGTGAAATAATAGAGAATTGACTCTTTTTTGACCTACCCATATCTCCAAAATGATATAATACTAGCTACCCTTTTTGACCTAATATCATATATTATTTTTAGACTCTATCCAAGATGTTTTATTAATAAATATATCTGTTTAACTACATATTTAGAATTTTCTCAACTTTCGAAACCTAAATCAAAGATAAGAAATCTATTACCATGGCAGGGATGGATGATTTTAGATGCGACGAAATTCGGAAAACCGAGGTAGAGATTGATCCAAATCTGTCCATATTATCACTTGAAGAATAATGACTAGATTTTGGTCGGCAGCTTACTGTCGGAAAGAGAGTGGGTTTTAAAAAATTATCACAGAAAGTGTCATCTTTGCGGCAGAAAAAGACATGCAAACAAATATTACATATGACACATGAAAACATAGAGAAATATCTTCAATAATAGGATTCTGACACGTGTCTCCACCTTCCTCTGCCATAACTACCAACCAAAATGGGAAAACAAGCTTTAAAAATGGAAGAGACAGAGAAAGAAACAAGAAAGTCAAAGAAGAGAATTACAAGACAAACAACATTCTTCTTACAATTGGTTCGAACATATCAATTTAACTTTGTGTAATAAGAAAGAAGATTGGTTCAAACCTCCCTTTTCGACTGAAACTCTAAGAATCCAATCTTAGAAAAAATAGCCCTACTTCTTTCTTTTCTTCTTCTTTTTCTTTTTTTTTTTATGACATTTGTCCACTTTTATCCACACTTTCAAAAAACACTCATCTTTTGATCTTTTGGATCATATTTACTACTTTTATTGCGAAGGATTGGTTTGAAATGAGAAATTTTCTCCTTTTCCTAATCTCTAAATTGTCATCCAGTAACTTTAGGTGTTTGGATAGGATTTTTTAAAACCTAACATTAAATCACCAATTAATTCAAAAACTTTAAGTGGGTGGATTATCTTCTTTTTCACTTGTGAGCTAGGAAATTTAATTGCACAATGTCCAACCAGTGTTAATCAATATTATAGGAGTAAACCTTCCTCTTCTAATACCATGTTAAATCATATCAATCAATTTAAAAGTTTAAACTGATGAGTTATGATAATTATAATTTTAATCTTTCATAGATACCTAAACACTTTATTTATATGCTGGCTAATGATACAACTAAAAGCATTTTAGTTGCAGGGGTTTAGTATAGACTTCCATGGGAAAAAGAAAAGATCTGTTTGGGCATCTTTCCTTCGTTTTTGCTTCATAAACATAATGTCACATTGGTTCCATAAGCTGCTTTCTCTAAGGGGGAAGAAAATCATAAATGGATCAGTATGCAAAAGATGATAATGATTTTGGACTTATGAAGTGATATATACTCTCAAATGTTCACATGTAGGCGGTTAGATATAATATATTCGCTCCACACGCCTTTTTCATAATATTTACATATATGACTTTGTCTAATTACATTGAGTTTGAACTTTCATAATTTTTCGTTTTTGAATTGTACTTTTGGATTATGTTGGTATAGAAACCACCCCTCCATTCAAAAGAGAGAAAAAAAAAATAAGCTTCTTCTCAAATGATTCTTTATTTATATTGTCTTCTTTAATATGATATTGTCTACTTTTGACATAAGTCTCGTAACTTTGTTTTTAGTTTCACAAAAAGGTTTCATAGTCTTGCCTATATAACATCAATTACTCAGCTAAATTCGAGGACTTAAGAAAGGGAGACAAATTAGAACACATGGGGTTTGTTTTTTTAATTACATATTGAATGTGTACTAAAAAAAATACATATTGAGAATATAAATGTGGATTTGAATTTTTTTTTTTAATTTCAAATGTGGATTTTAAGTCAGAGACTTGTGTTGAGGAAAGGAATCTTTCCTAACTACTATCCCAATATATTTCATCAAATATTAAACAAAATTCAGCAGTCCTTTTTACACTTTTTCAAAAGATTTTCTTTTGATAATGGGGTGCGGCTCCAACATATTGAAAATCTATTTCAAAATTTAATTGAGAGCATATTCCCAATTTGGTTCATACCAACCTAATCCCTGCCCAACACTCATTTTCTCATTTTTCCCGTCACTGTTAACATAAATAACCTAATTAACAACTAAATTTGATTTATTAATTTGAAACATGCTGACATCAAGTTCAATTTTTAGCATAGCGAAATCAAAATCAGAGGTAAAAGTTCTAGTCGTGCGTTTCTTTCCTTTCCTTTCTTTATTTTCTTTAGGTGCTTTTTGTGTATTATGTGGGTGGCAATTCATTCAACACATTAAAACAGAAAATGTCTTGAATTAAACCATGTTTGCTTTCTTTTCAAGTCTTTAAGTTAAAAGAAAGTTTCATAATTTTATGTTTCAATTTTTCTAGTTAATTGGTAAAGTTCCATTGATTAATTTGTAGTTGGTTCTCCATAGCTTAAATTTCTCTCCTCATTATTTATGTCTATATCAAATAAAAAAAGTTTAAGGATTCAAAATGTGTATCGATAAGATTTGACTAATGTAATAGAATTGGATGATATGTCCACGCGACATGATTATCTTTGGCGTGTTATATCAACGCATAACCTACCATTACACCCTATCGTATCAATTTAACCGTAAGATTAAACAACGGAGCTTTTGACAAAATATTACGAGAGATTAGAGTTGTATATTTGAATAGTAATATTGAGCTATCTTCAACGATTTCTTTTTCTTTTTTTTTTTTTGAGGTATTGCGAATCAAAAGACTTAATTTGCCAACATCATAAGACCAAGTCCAAAGCAGTTGTAAAATGCTACAGAAATGCAATATTTGTGGCTAGTGTTCATCTGTCGGTTGAGTTCATTACGTTTTAAACCAACCTTGTTTTGTTTCAAATTATTCAAAAAGCTCTTCTAATTACTGCGAATTTAATCCCACAAGTAATCATGTGATCTAAGAAGCTTAATTTAACTTAATTAGTCTTCAAATTATTGCCTAGGCGAACTTTTTGATTGGCCAAATTTCGACAACAATTATTTTTCGCTTTGAATTCAGTTGCCAAAATCTATGTTCATTTTCCTCCAAAGATATTATATTAATAATAAATCAACTAACTTTAAGATATCAATTTATTCAGAGATGTTTCCGTTTCGTAGTAGTCGTGGACAAGGATTTAGAAATTTTCGTTTTATTATTTTTTTTTTTCTTTTGATTACCTATGGATCTCACAAACATTGTTTGAGATCTCAAGCCATCCGACCTATCTCTTAGAACTTTTATTTTTAATTTTGAAGATAGGAAAAGAGAAATATATTCTCTCCAGATCCCATCTAATTCTCATTCTCAATCCCTTGATCTCATTATTTTATAATATTTACTACTTTCTTTCATATTATATGTATTAGGCTTCATATTTTATAAACATATTCTCATGCATCAAAATTTTCCCAAAATAAAAATTATACATAATAATTTACATATTAATTAATTGTAGACGTCTAAACTAATAAAAATTGGATTTAAATAAATAATACTTTTTAACAAGAAATATTTAGGACAATGCTACGATATTTGATA